GGGGGGGGGGGGGGGGGTGTTTAAGAAGTCGGAAATTGAGCCTAGCCCACATGTCTTTACGTTTCTCATAAACTTCTTTAACCAGAACTTTACAAAAATCAATGACTTATAAAGTGAAACAAAATCTTCAAGTTTTTCTGAACCACAAACTACTTGGCACATCCTCCTTGTACGTGCAACGAAATTAATAAAGAAGCCAATTTAAATTATAGAATTATTCAAATGTTTTATCACTACGAAAATCACACATGATTACATTTGAATAAGTAGGCAAATTACGAATAAATAATGTATATTAAGAAGTACTTACTCGACATCACGTTACATTACAGATGCAGAAGACTGTTTACTGGATGTTAATCAATTTGCTGATACTTGAGACTTCAAGATATTCACTCAACACTCACTGTTACACTTATAATAAGTTTAAATTCGAACATCCTCTACCCATTTCGAGCGAAGTATTGTATTTTAATCCCAATACTCCAGATTTATTTTGTAACTATAAACCAAAAGAATCGTAACCTAATTCTTATACACCATTCGTTCTGGAATGCAGATGCAGAAAGACGAATTAGTTTATTTACTTTCCCCAGCGAACCACTTTACTCACGATAAATAGTATTTTTACGTTATGTTTACATTTCACTGACGCTAAAATGCTGCATCAAAGACATACTTATGTAAGAAAACCCAAACTGACACAACAAATATCAAAACACCAGAATATGGAAGTTGGAACAACATACAATCGCTCACGAGGGCGCTGTGGTCGGTCTCTAAGGCAAGTGCACGTGAATAAACAAGAATCATAGATCGTTGCTTGTTTATACTGAGGTATTTATGGAGCAAAAAATGGATCAGAGAATGCTAGAGGAAAAGAAATGGGCCTTGTTTATAGAGGAAATACGAATTACAGGAAGGTAGAAGAACCAGTTTGAACTATTTGCGTACTAGGAAAATAGAAAGTGAACGAATGCCCAGCATGCCTCCAGTAAACAGACAGTCCTGTTTGTCCCCCCCCCCTCCCAACCAACCTCACTGTGAGTAGTGATACTACACTAAACGTTAGTCAAACCACACCAATTTTCTTTGATAACATTCCAAGAAAGGAGAGACTTCTTTTAGTCTCCTTTCCCTTCTTAAGATAAATGAAGCTAATGATGTCACCATGCTACGTGAGTCCCCTTTCAACATTTATACCAGTTGACCAACTTTCACGAAATTTTGTATGAACGTTACGCTACTGGAACTTTTTAAACTTCCTGCAATCGATAATTATTTGGACGCACGACCTGTGAGGTGGGAGAGACATCAGCGCCCTGTAATAACGTTGTCCCTGGTGCTGAACTAAACATCATGCAGGCGTATGGGAGAGCGGAGATGTACATGATGGGTGGGAAGTAAGTATTCATTAAATAATCGCTATACATTGGAAATATATAGGTTATAACCATTTCTCAATGCTTACTTACTTCCCACCCACCTGTAGATCCACGAATTCTTAACCTCGGCACTGCCTAAACATGAGAAAAGAACCCAGGCACCCATCAGGTCGGAGGCTGGGTGAGAACCAGAGCCGTTTTGGCAAAGAGAGAATGGTTTGATAATTTTGTATGGTAAGTAATAGAGCTTCTAAAAACGAAATCGTGTTACTTCTTCGGGATAGAAAAAACATGGTGGCCTTGAGAAAGTTGTCCTAAGCTTTCAGTTTCTCAGGGATAAGTAATGGACTAGCCTAATTACAAATATAGCCTGAATTTAGTATGAATATAAATTATAAGCATCCCTACAAATTACTGATGAAATATTGTCTATGAATCAACAATTACGAACATGACGGCACTGTGAAAATTTTGAGGTTACAGGAGGTTTAACATGGATACAGTGCTTAATTAATAAATTCTTCCACAATATAAAATACTGATCCTAATAACAATATTGTGACACGTTTACTAGTGCAAACATCAAATCAGCTAATCAAAAAATAAATTAAGAATCCTGGCCTTTACTAAAAGGTTCATTATTGTGTGCATGACAGCCCACTACCTAACCCTACCATCAGTCTGCAGGTTGCATTAATTAAGCTATGGGCTGTTCTCAGTCCATTAACCATAACTTGAGAAACAATTAAATACAGTAATAATTTTACTGGTTGTTTACAATTAAGTGACCACTTTTTAGAATCTGACATATCTTTAAAAGAAATTGTGAATAACTGATTTCAAAATTATTTATTGCGCAAAATTAGTGTCAGAATTAAACAGTTTCCTTGAAACAGTGTGTGGGTTATTATAAGAAATTTTATATGTTCATATATTTGAAATATTCAGTTTAAGTGTAATACACAAGAAAACAAAGTAACAATTTATAATATTACAACTATCCAACTGATCTATTTAAATACTTAGCACTTAATCAACCACTTGGTTTTAAATAATGTAAAAGTGATATGTGAACCGATGTCGCTGCTTAAAGTTATAAACGCATTAGACCCTACAATCATACCAAAACGACTATTTTCAAGGCAGGACACTATAACCTCCAATTCATCTTCAAAATGCAGTACGAATAATATGCCATATCAGTATTAAAGACAAAAGGAATTTAGCTAATTCTGGTGATAATACTTAATAAATAAAATAATGTTTATACCAAGAATTTATCTTCACAAGTGATTATTCTACTCTTAGATCTTCATTTCCAACCTAGAAAAACAGTTCAAGAATAAAGAACTTACCATTTATCATAAAGTTAAGAATATAATCTTGAATATTAAGTACTCGATTTCATTACATAATTATAACCTTTTCCAAATGTGAGTTTTATTTACAAAGTTTATTTTACATTAACAAGTGAGAAGTGTCAATGATATGAGATATATGATGTTACAAAATTTTAACTGTTACGAATTTTTCAAATTTCAAATTTATGCAAATTTGTAAATTGCATTCAGGAAAATAAATTATTATCAAATGCCACACGGAGTAATACAAATCTTTCTCCTTTTAAGAGTGGCATTCAGAATTACTTACAAACCATTCCAGAATCAGAGGATAACAAATGTCAGAACACAACAATATTCATTACATCTGCAGAAAATATCTAAAATTACAATCTAAGTCTTCAACCATACCCTGTAATGAAAGTGAAAGAAAGAGGGGACTAACCACCCACGTTCTACGCTGTATACCACCCCATCAAAACATCTTTCTAAAGAAATATGAACATTTACAGACTATAAATTATTACTGATTACAGAGGTTACAGGGCCATTTTAATCACAGCAAAAAATTGTTAACATGGTCAACAATCTAATTTCAATATTTTAAATTAAAAACATGTTGAGCTTTCCCGACTTCCGATTTATTTAAGGTGGTATAATTACATGAAATAAAATTCAATTCGCAACTTTCCATGCGCCATCAACTTTACTCCAAGCATAATAGTTAAAAAGTGAACCCCTCACCTTGAAAGCATCGACACAGCAACACAACAGCAGCCAACGTCCATTAAAGACGCCGTAAACCACAACTGTTGGACGAACAAGGAAGGGTAAGGCTCACAAAATAAATAAGTTTCAAAACTGCTCTACATTACTACTGAGAGTCCTCTGCAGATACTCTACGTAGTACATCTGGAAAAAAAACCCTTTCCATCCAAATGAATGCATGGTTTTACACGATGCCACTGTCTTGCAGTAACAAAATTCACTTCTTAGGATCTTCAGTGTCAAAACCAATATCAATCTATATACCCAGCAAAATTGTCCTTGGGTCTTCCACCGCTGCTTTGATTTTACGCAGGAAAAGAACTGCTTCACGCCCATCGACAAGACGATGATCGTATGTTAACGCAACATACATCATAGGCCTGATGACAACCTAAAGAAATACATATGACTATAAAACTAAAGTCAAATTAGAACTGCAGGCTACATGTAGGGAGACGGAGGTACTCGGCGCCTCCGTCATCAAGGCAATGCCGGAGGCAGCGAGAATCTCTAAACAGTAAATCTGTACCAGAATACACGGTGAAACCCATAAAACAGCAATCTTGATTTACAAAAATTCCTAACAAAATCGTTGTAAATGCCTTAGGGCAGTGGTATTCAACCTGGGGCACGCAAAGACATCTTAGAGGGCATGTGAAATTTAAAAAAATATATATTATTTTATGATGATTGAATAATCAGTAATGTAATTTATTTAATTTATTTTAGATGTATAACTTGAATTATACACCAACAACTTTGGGGGTACAAAGTTGAAGAGAAATTATATCTGGGGGTACACAAAAAAAAAAGTTGAATACCACTGCCTTACCCGCTGTCCTACGTGAGCGATTAAATGTGAGTTGCGTGGGTGAAGCGGAAATATCAAACTGGCTGTCTGTGTGGCGCTGTCCTAGGTTCCAGCAAAGCGGTCAGGAGAGGCAAGCGGCCATAGTCCGAGATCAAATATTTTGATATTTTCGTGCGAGTCGCTGCGCTGGCCAGTAAGGCGCATGCGCAAGAAAGCTCTGACCGTGCAGTACACGGAAGGTGCATGCGCAGGAAGGCCGTGTGCTTCTATTGCGGTCTGTCATGTAGGACACAACAAGCGATTCTCCACTTCATGACACCCCATGCTGCTTATGCAGCTCGCTTGTTATCGCTTACGTAGGACATTGCCTTAGAGAACATCACTGAATACTAAGAGTATTCAGATTCATACAAAGCAGCACTCTACGAAACAGTTACACTGTGTGGATGTGGAAAGAAGAAGTCATGGCCTAACTGAAGATACTAACCCAGAATTTTTCTGAATGGATAGCCACTCTCCAAGTCAAGATCTGGACCCAAAATTTCCTAATTAGGAAAAGAGTTTCAACCACACGGTCACGACTTCTGGTCACTTTTAGTATAGAACTTGTTTTAAACAATATATATCACTTCTTCATACATACAATAACAAAAGTAGTGATTATAACGCTAATGGCAGCAGTAAAATTAGTTAATAATAAAAATTAGCAATTACCTGTCCTTTTATGGCCACAGGTCTGTCAAAAATTGCATGCATGCCTAGAATAGCTGATTGAGGAGGATTGATGATGGGTGTTCCCATCAGGGAACCAAACACACCACCATTACTGATGGTGAATGTTCCTCCATCCATATCTTCAACAGCTAATGCACCCTTCTTCGCCTTTTCTCCCAGGGCAGCGATTGCCAGTTCAATTTCGGCATAATTCATTGATTCTACGTTTCGTACTACTGGTACGACTAAACCCTGAAAAATAAACATTTCCAATTTAATCTTGTAAAAAATCAAATGTAAAAATTCCTCTCAAAATGTGTAATCCATCGTGTTCTAGTCACTTTATTGCTTAAACTAAACACCGGTAATTCTTATTGAATAAATTAAGCATGACATCTCTTAATATAGCATTCAATTATGATGAACAGATTCTTTAAACAGATACACATACATTACTGATCATTTAGTAAATGTATATCAGTATAGTGACTGGCTACGGACTGGGCTAGTGTTATACCTTCTCTCCCCCCAAGCGCGTATAGTGGAACAGCTTTACTTTGCCAAATCCACTTAGTTTACATTCCATATCATTATCAAGTAGAAATGACAAATTTTGTCATGAAACTTTTGTTCTGTCACGCAAGAATTGGCGTGTGGAGGCTTATATGGAGCAGTCAAAACACAGAACATTACAGTTCTGTTAAAAAAAGGAACCAAGGGAGATAAGATTAAAAATTTCACCTTGGGAGTGGCCACAGCAACAGAGATATCCACATAATCACGGTATATTATTTCACTGCCATCGATTACTGCATTCACAACTGGTTGGTCCTGTAGCGCGAAAGCAGCTGCTTTGACAAACGCAGACATGAAGCCAAACTTGATACTGTATTTTTTCTGGAATGCTTCCAAGTGAGCTTTCCGGAACTCCATAATGTTACTTAAAAAGAAAACCACACATAATTAAACAAACCAACAATAAAGCCCGTGATGTTTCCCAATAAGAAAAATTTAACAATTATAGAACATATTTAAACATAAAATATTAATATATTATTATTAATTATAGAATTATAAAACATCATGTAAGAAAAATGGATATAAAATAAACATACCTCATATCAATCTCATTAAATGTAGTAAGCATAGCATTTGTGTTTTGAGCCTCTTTGAGACGCTGTGCTATACGCTGCCTCATTCGATTCATCTTGACTCGCTGTTCAGATCGTGTTCCAGTAATTTCAGATGTAGGATCTGCAGGTGGCAGCTTAACAGTTGCAGCTTCGATGGCTTGAGCATGTCGGATAGCAGCCACTGGGATCGAAGAAATTGGTCCTTGGGGTGGAGGTGGAGGAGGTGGCGGTGGAGGTCGCGGCGGAGGTGCAG